AACATTTAAGAGCAAAATCTTAAAAACAATTAGCCATCTCCTCCAGTCATGGACCTCAGAGAAGGGTACTTAGAAATACTAAGAAATAGCAGTAATCTCAACCCAGTAGGAAAAAAATCAAAAGCTACTCTCACCAACATAATGAAAGAGAAATAAAATACCAGGAAGAGGACAGTGTGGTGTAATTGCCTGAAGTAACTAGGAAAATAAAACTAACATTCACATTTTTAAGGAAACGGCACAGCATTGAAGAGGCTTTCAGGGTAGGGCATAACTGCATTACCTGAGCATTCCCTAGACTCCCAACCTTAGATGCTATCGCGCTGGGGAAACTTGGTGTGCTAGCCCTAGGGAACAGCACAGAGCGTAGAGTGGAGTGGAGACACCACGGCTAGGCTCTGTACTCAGGTGGGGCCTCGATTGTTCTCGTGCACAAAGCTGCACTTTTTGCCACCCTGAGCCAAAGACCTGTCATGTTTTGACAAATGCTGTACCCTAGTGTACTTTTTGCTCATTATAATATCATTATAATACCAAAATACACCTCCATCCCAAAAGCTACCCGCCTCCAAGGTGCGACCACCCCTCACTGAGCATGCGCTCTGAATTTCTCGGAGCCTATTACTTTAAACGGAGACGGGAAAACTTTACACCAATCATAACTAAGACATGCTTGACTAGAGCCACTCAAGCTCCACCTAAAAGATAGAAAATAATATAAATTGGCCCAAGAGAGAGGGGATGTTAGGGAAGATACCATCGTCAGGGGAGATACCATCCCGAGGACATACAGCATCCTTAGGACCTCCTGACTCCTGGGATCAGTCGACGGGCTGAGCCTCTCTTCCCCCCCCATTGGGACGCCTTTGGGTGAGATCTGAATATTTGCTTATAAATCTCTATAGAGTCTTTGATCCTTTTAACGCGTTTATTTCTAGGCTGCGCACCTGTAACACCTGTAACATCTATAACATCTGTAATACCTATAACATCTGTAACACCTACAACACCTACAACACCTGTATAACATCTGTAACACCTATAACACCTGTGTATTTCATACATACTAACTTGCTTTTGCAGATAGTCACTATCACCGGCAATCCAAAAGAACCTGATTATCTGTTGCTGTAATAAACCATACTTGATTGCATTGTGATAGCTCTCATTAAGTGCAACTAGGGTGAGGGTGGTTATCCGTGATAGTTCAGTGTTCTGAATCTAACCAGACCCCCAGACGGTTAATGCGTTTTTGGTGAATCACAGAATCACAGAATTGTCTGTGTTGGAAGAAACCTCAAGATCATCGAGTCCAACCTCTGACCTAACACTAACAGTCCCCACTAAACCATATCCCTAAGCTCTACATCTAAACGTCTTTTAAAGACTTCCAGGGATGTCTGACTGGACCCCCAGACGGTTAATGTGTTTTTGGTGAATGTCCGACTGGTTCAGTACTCTGAATCCGACCGGGCCCGTAACGGTTAATCAGCTACACCCCTTAACGCGACAGACAGAGATGACAAAATGGAGAATCTACACACATAGATTCATAGAATCTACACACATAGAGAGACATAGTCTCTCTTACCATAATGTTCCTACTGATCAGATTTGCCAAATGTCTTGGGACAGATGAAGCTAGTAGTAAAGTGGCAGAAATGAGCAATTATCTTGAATGTCACTCAAATAACTGCTCTTTCACAAATCTGTGGAAAACATTTCAACAGCTAGCAGAAATAAAATAAAATAAAATAAAATAAAATAAAATAAAATAAAATAAAATAAAATAAAATAAAATAAAATAAAATAAAATAAAATAAAATAAAATAAAATAAAATAAAATAGTATCGGTTTCAGATCGATATAAGAAAGTGGCACAAATTTCAGGCCTTCAAACAAAGTTGAGTGACACAAAACAGAAGAACTCAAGTCAGCTTTAAAAAGGACTGGGGGAAAAAAGTAACTTTAGAAAACACACTTCTATTTGTTCCAGCTTCTGCAGAGATTACGTGCCTCAAATATAGCAACTGAGAGAAGTTCTACCAGCAGTAAGGATGTAAAAGAGTGGAAGCCACAGACAGTTAAAACACCTAAGCTACTCAACCAAATTAATTTTCAAGTAAGGACAAAAATCAGAGTACAAATTAATAGAAAAGATTTTGTGTGTGTGTGTGGAATACTAAGCTGGAATCCAGCTGAAAAATTCAGATCTTATATTTGCAGTTATTAATTTCTCCCAGCTGAAAAAAAATAATAATAATAAAACAGAGAAGTTGCAAAAGCAGAGGAATAGTTAGGTTTCGACTAATAAAGCTAAAGCTTTAAAAAATAATAAAGCTAAAGTTTTAAAAGGAATAGAATTTATCTCCCTTGTCCAAGTGAATAGGCTAAGACGGCATTTTCTTCAGCTTTTCTTAACTCAGGAATACACTCTGAATTTTGAATAGCCATTTTACAGATTTAGGAATGTTTGACTTTTTGGCAAATTTGGTAGGGTCCAACTAAAGAGATTATGTATGTTACCACTTTCTTACTTAAAGGCAAGTCATGTATCAGTGATCAAGTATGCCAGTGTAAGACAAATGTTCTGCAGAACTTGAAATGAATTGCAGTGAAATAAATTCCATAAAATCTGTTCATAAAACTGCAGTTAAACTGAAATACATTGAAATGAATCCCATAAGTTCCTAGCTGTAAATTTCATCTTCCACTGAAAGCCAAAACAATTGGACTAAAACCTAGAATCTACTCTTCCATTTCATTTACAACAATATAACTTGATTGCTAAGAGCTTAAAAGCAATTCCCAGATTTGATATCAAACAGATTTCATCCCCTAAAGCAAATTATTTACAACTTAAGCAGTTACAGTCGTAGCTCTTTTTTTGAATTAGCAGCATGTTGACTTAACCGTATTCCATTTAAATTATTCTAACATCATAGTCAACGAGGGCTTGGATTTTTATAAATTTGCATATTGCCTCTGGTTTGTCCCCAGAAGTAACAGCCAGCTTTTCACTGACAAAAGGGTGATCCAACAATGAAGGAATTTTTTTTCCATTATTAAAAATGCCAGTATTTACCTTTTTTTCCACAATATAATTTCAATAACACCCCTGAATGAAAAAGAAATTTTGTCATCAATTACACCTGGACAAATAATCCCAGTCTCATGGAAATATTTAAGAAATAAAAATAAAAGCTTCATTTATATGACCAAGCAAGCAGTATTCTAATAACCATTGAAAAACTTCCCTCCAAACCCTCCCTCATTGAAAAACTTCCCTCCAAATTGCTATATTATAGCAATATATGGGGATAAATATCTCACAGATACCATATCACAATAACCCAAAAGAAAATGCTGTCTTTTCTTTTAATCTGTAGCAAAACCACTCCTCCATGTGATTTTGGATAGCCAAACGGAGCTAGCCGATGGAAACAAATACTTCAGAACACCCACACATTTGAGAATTCAGATAAAAAGCTTGCAGTCCACGGAAGTTTCAAGAAAGCATAATAAACAAGAAATTGCAAGGAAGCTATAAACTTAGACCTACACATAGACCTACACAAGTCTTCCACTGCATTTGACAGTTCAAGGTGCTGTGCATCTATTTTTTTTACAGAGTGCCAGAGGCCATTTAGCCCTCCAGGAAACATGCTGTACCACACCATTTCTGTATCACTACAAATGTAAGGGAATTGGTGAGGAACAAAATCAAGGACCTTGCTGTAAGAACCAACACAACAGGAATCCTAAGGCAATGGCAGCATTGAACTTCAGACATCAGTCTGACTTTCAAACAAATTTAAACCAACAATATTGCAGACAAGTTCTAGCCACAGTAGAAATATAAAGGTTTGACCAGTTTTAGTATGCTCCATTGACAAGCATATGACAAAACTCATTTAAAAAATAGTTACATTTCCTTTCAGAAACTTACAAAGAATCAAACCAATAAAATTTTCAAAATTCCAGATTTAGAAGTACTTGATTATGAATGACACACAACGCAGACACAAAACTACAAATACGCAAAATGAGAGCTTTGTATAGAAAATCTACTTGCAAAATTCTAAGATTTATTTCTAAATTTAGACATTTAACTAGAGATACCATTGTAGGGCATATGCCTGATGTGTTTATACAATATAAATATAACTGAGTTCAACCTAATAATAGCCAAACACTTTCTCAGTGACAGCGACTCAGTTACATAAGATTTAAGTTTTACCTTTAAATTCAAGATTCCTGTGCCAAAGATTCACTCAGTTCTCCTCTAAAAAATTCCCTGAATAGTGATGCTATACCATGCAGTGAAAGGAACCTATACCCGTTAATGTTATTAACATTATATTGTAATCTAAGGTATTTTCATAAGGGCAAAGAGAGCTGCAATAATTGTATAACTTCAGCTTAAGTCTTATTGACAGTTCAAGTAAAGAACAGCAGAGTGGGTGCTGATTTTCCTAAAATACAAACAAACAAAGAAGTCCACATGGCCATTATTTGTTCTGCTTAAATTTTAAGGAACATCTACCGCAAGTCAGCAAGGTTTAAATATAGTGAAGACTAAATATGTGAAAAAGACTGTCTCTTCTTAAGTGACTAGAAATTTCTACTTCCACCTTCTCTATTGTGCAATGTAGCAAACAATTATATGTTTCACTGAACATTGTCTAACACCTCAGTTAAAAATTTTTGACACAAGCTGGTTTTCAATTTTGCAAACAACACATGATACACTGAAGTTAGATGCATTCATTAAAAAAAAAAAAAATCAAATGACAAAATGAAAGAGCAATATTTATAAAGAATTTGCTCATAAACTCATACTTTGTTATTGTTGTTGTTCAAGTTTTCCTTTCCTTGTCAGCTGGTTCCATTTGAAAAGGAATAAAAAATTCCATTATTTCACTTAGCACTTCCTTCTAGCTGATCAGAAAGTAAGCATCTACTATACACACGTTTTTAATTTACATATTACAACTTACCTGTTTTGGAAGCCGGAAGAGTGAATTTTTGTAAAATATATCTTTAGCTTGACTCCAAGTTCCATCAATGATTATCATAATTGGTGGACTGGAAGACCCCAAAGTGACTTCTTCCAAATTGGTTGCTTCAGCGCCAGGATACAAAATAAGAGTACTGGGATTTCTGCACACAGTTGCTAACTCAGGGTACCTTTAATGCACACACACAGAATGACAGTAATTATTAAAGGTTTCCATGACAAATAGATACTTCCAGATTACAATACTAAATTCAATTCATTTTCTCCAAATTTTATTTAATTTTCCAAGAAAGATCCATATCAATCTCTCTATCCAACACGTCAAGAGAAGGTGTTGGTCCCTCAGCTCCTATCAAGAAAGAAAATAACAACCAAAAAAGTAATCAGCAAAAAGCTCAATGAAACAATCTGTAAGGAACATTTTCCAATACTTTGATCATTAAGTCTAAGAACATCTTCTAACGTAATCCTCTAACAAAAGGTGTTTTGTATTGTTTACTAAAATTTAACGTATTTATTCTAGTAAAATTTGTTTAAGTGCTAAGTATAGAAGTACCACAATCTCCTCAATTTTATTTTTTTATTACTACTTCTACAGTTATGGCCCCAAAACCTACACATTCTTTTCTTCGTTTTTGTTGGCCTGTAAATGTGGCACTGGAATTAGAGGTATAGCTATTGTCTATTAGGAATTCTCTTAATGTACACAGAAATTCCTGAAGTTTTTGCAAGACTCACTAAGTTAGTTGATAAAACCTATGAGAGGATTGTCATTCAAGTATTACCAAAAACCTTAAAAATGCGTAGTAGAGTAAGTTGGCAAGGGAGAACACGAGAAAAAGCTGGTCTTGTAACAAACACTGTAATACTTGTCTTAAATCAATTTCAGCAGCGTCACAGTGTTGTTTTCACAGTTGCCTCAATTCCAAGAGCAGGAAGAAATGCAAAACAAGAGTTGACTAAAGCATGTGAAAAAGAATAAGAAAATCTGCATAGCACTTCAGAGAATGACTGATGTGGTAGTAGGAACACAGCAATAGCATGAAAATACTAAAAACTGAAATAGCGTGTGACTATCTGTCCTCTGACATGGCAAGGGAAGCCAGAACAGAGAAAGTAAGAATTATTAACAACTAAAATTAGAATGAGGTTAGGTATAGACAGCACACAGAGTGGGTTATCCATACTACCTATCAAGAACTACTAAGAGCAGGAACATATTCCAAAACAGGCAGGATTTAGAGATGTTAGCTCACACAGACAAACTCCAGCTGACACTGTGACCTTACAACTTTTAAGCCCTGCAAGTTGGATTCCTGCATCACGTCTCTAAAATTCAAGCAAGAATCTCCTTTCTTACCTTCCTTATTAGACAGAAAGACAGACAGACAAAAATAAAACATGAAATGACAATACAAGACAGGAAAAAGGAAAAGGGAACAGTGAAAATGTTAGGGATGAAAGCAATGCTTAGTATGTTTTTTGAGCTGACATATACTAGATGTATTTCAAACCTGTGCACTCCATCATCTCTCTCCAGGGACATATGTGAAAACACAGTTTTACCAGTATTTGGTTCAGGCACATTTGTAGTGCCTCAGACTGAGACTCCGAGCTTAAGACTCATATAAGGCCATATGGGAGGCATCAAAAATGAAAGAGGAATTGAATTCAGTGTACCAATATGTCAAGATCTTGTATTCCAATATTTGACCACTTTCAGTTTCCAAACAAACAGTCCAAATTGATTTGATTCAACACTACCTGTTTAATTACTGTCAACATTATTTACTAAAAAACGAAAAACAATCTCTCCCTCCAAAATAAACAGTAAAAAGTGTAAACGGAGAAAAGAAATCTGTAAGACGAGTCTGTGACAAATAAAACTACGTGGAAACTTACCTGCCCACTGTATTTTTAAACCTAAGTTACATTACAGTAACTTGGTATCACCTTAGCTTAACAAAAAATAATGCTATGCAAAACCATAGGCAAGGGGTATCTCACTATAAGCTACCTTGCATTCAAGGTTTAAATCTACAAAATTGGTAACTAATTTCAGATGTTTGTCTTGAGAACCTAAATCCTCAGAAGAGCTAAGTATCCTAATTCAGTGTTGACAGAGATTTCAAACAGTTAACAACCCCTAGATCGTAATAATAATAAAATAATAAAAATAATAGTAAGAAGAAAACACTGTCTTTGAAATGTGTATTCAGTTCAGAAGGTAGGAGAAAATAATGAATTCTTTAAACTAATTCAAAAGCATAATGATTCTACAGCACTGCGAGTCATGTTTTGCTTTTTCAAGGACTACACAACTGCCAAAATGACTGTGCTTTGTACAAAGGCACAAAATTACTTTTAATTCAATTCATGGCTAAATTTATCTACTATGTGTTTTATGGGGGGCTCTATGTGTTTGTATGGTCTGCTGCAGGGAAAGTTAACATCCCAGGCAGACCCAGTACAACAAGTTGCATATTTTGAATTACTTACTTCTATCTTTATTTTTTTCCCAACAAATAATTTAAAGACCATATGTACATACAGTTTCATACTAATGTAAGAAACAGAAAGGATGAAAATGTGTTAAAAGAATAAATTATGTACATAAATATTTCAAAACACTGCCAAAAATAGAAATCCAAGATGATTTCAAGGAGCAAAAATGAACACCCGGTTAAAAGTTGACAAAAAAAGAATGCATTAGGAATTACGAATGTTATTTTAAAGTCTGTGTCTTTGCAATACAATTCAGATGGAAGCAACAGCTTTTGATGCATTCCAAAAATTCCAGTTATTTCATTTTACAACAGTTTATATGCAAAAGCAAAGGAGGGAATGGTTCAAAATGCAAGTCCCACATATTTATCCTAGGATTTGAAGGCTGCCTATACACACTGCCATAAGAATCTACAGTGCTTTAGAAACTGGAAATAACTGGTATCTTCAAAGAGCTTATTATCCACCGAGTTAATCCTGGAGTGACACTGAGCACATGCAGAGAGCTACTCCTTTCAGAGTTACAGGTTCTCAGAAATATATGCTGAACAACCCCTTGCAGGTTATGGCTCACACAAACAGTTACAGAACTACAGCAGTCTATGTCAGTAGCTTTATTAAATCACGTCTCTTCCAGTCATAAAATATAAAATAAACATAGAAATAATGACCTAAACATAAATGCCTAATGATTAGCTTAGAAAAGCACATGGCTTGTTATACAAACTTGCAAGTTCAAACAATATATATATTTTTGTATGTATCTCTATACACCTATGTTACATTAATTCCACTGCAGGTTTTGTATTGCTTGGGTTTTAAGGCTTTGTTTCCTGTTGGTTTGTTGATGATACATAGTACAATTAGACTTTTTCTGCTCAGACACCATAACAACTAAGAATTTGCCCCTGAAAATATCTGCATCTTTCAAATGCATTTAAATAGATTAGTATAAGAAATCCCTATAAGAGATCAGTATAAGTCTCAGCAAAATATTGAATTTGTAACTTATAAGTAAGAATGAAGCTGTTAACTCATTGAATAGGTATAGCAAGTACATACCACTTACCACTTTTCACAGCCACTGAGCAAGAATATGCTTCTGATATGCTTATTTTGGGTAAACACTGTGATACAGTGTGCTTGATCACAAACTACTTATGAGTACTTGTATAAGGCATGATTTTCTCTACTAGAGACAGATGTTTTTAAAAGAAACTCACAGGAAACAATTGGTAAAAATTAGTCATTTTACTGTAATGCTGAAAAAGAGCTTTTGCCTACTGAGTTCTTTTGAAAACCTGATCCACATCCACAGTACAACTTTTTTTCTATAGAAGCTTTATCTTGCATGCTTAAATTTACAAAAGCATGAAGTAAAAGAGTAAGAATTAGATTTCAATTAGATCTTCTAAAAGTGCATATAATCCTACTACAAAAACACATTAAAAATCTTCATACACCATTAGTATTGTGTTTGAACACCATTGTTGAAACACAAGACTGATTTTAGACAAATAGTATGGCTTGTTAAAAACATAGGAGATAACTTCATTGAGATTGATTTTAGTATTCATGACAAATCAGGGAATATTAAAGAATATCTGCCAGTTTTGAAATTTCTTAGGGCCCCAACTGAAGTAGCTCAGCACCATGCTACAAAAGAAAACTTCTTTTTGCTTTTCATCCCCACCTTATTTTTCCCTATAAACAAGGGCAGAGTCACAAGCTCAGCAATAGGTCACTTGCTTACATGCACTGTCCACACTGCCTTAGAATAACTAGATAGAAAGCTCAGGCCACACACTGTACCAGGAGGTAGCTAAAAGCAACATCTTAGCTACCCTGATTAGCAACATCCCCGATTCCAAGTGTATGAAGCAGGTAAAAGATATGAGTAATTGAGTAAGACTCACTACAGGCTTAGCAGGCTTGTAGCTACTCTTTCTCTCTAAGCTTTTTAACCTTGGGGGTGAGATTTTCTTAGGTTTCTGTGTGTTGTGTTTTTTGGTGGTGGTGGTGGTTGGTTGGTTGTTATTTTTATTAATCGAGCTGATTTTATTTAAGTTCATGAACACAGTTCTGTGGTTCAGCTAGACTTGTAATTGTGGGGAAATTAAACACAAAAGAAACAGACGCACATTAGGAGCACATGGACAAGTTAAGATAAGCATGAGCACAGGCAGTCACACCAGGATAAGCCATTCCAGGCTCCTGAACAAACAGATGACTGTATCATACAGCAGCTGCCCAGTCAGAAATGAGGTCTTCTTGCCTTGCTTCTCATCTTTTGCTATGCAGTACTCCACAGCTTTCACAGCACTTGTGACTAACATGCCTGTCACTGAGACACACAGCTTTGGCAGTACAGATGAAGAATAGGGATGTTTGTGCTGGGGGCAGCAGCTGCTGCAGACAAGGCAGTGGGACTGCATGCTTCACAGCAAAGCCTTCTTTAAGTAATATCTCCTCAGGCAAGTTTGCCTACTAACTTATTATAACCTGGATTCAGGAACAATTCAGTGAAAGAAGTTCTTCCTGTAATCATATCCCTTCTCACCAGTGTTCAAGACATCGACATTTCATGCTGTCTTTGAAAGCTCATCTGCAAACACTTGAACATGACTGTGGCCTAATACCAGCAGACATGTCAAAGACAATGACG